GGGAGAGAAAGAATAAATACAAATGAATGAAATAAACAGTGGATGCAGAAAGGGGTCTCTCTCCACTCCCTTTCTGCTCTAAAGCAGGGCATATATTTTTCTCCTGGTACCAGGAAGATAGTATTTTTATCATCAGAGATAGGGAATTCTACACGGAGATGTGTCTTTATATACAATCTTTACTAAAATAACCTTTATCTTTCATTAGTGTCCCCATTTATTTGCTACTCACTTTCCCACACTTTACTGCCCATAAAAACCTTTGACTATTTTTTTCCTAGTTTATCACCCCCATATTACATAAACCTATTAATGGCACATTTGAATCCTTTTTCTCTTGTAATCTGTCTTTTGTCAACTTAAATTATAGGCCTCAGGCACAAAAGAGGACAGAGGAAAAAGTTTCTGTCATCTACAGTGGACTGCTATTTAGCCTTAAAAGGGAAGGGAAAGCCCGGTACAGCAAGGCATACCTGCAGTCCCACCGACTCAGAAGGCAAGGTAGATTGCTCAGCTGTGTGCATGAGTTCAAGACCAGTACAGACAACATAGTAAGATGTGTCTCAAAAAAATAAAATTTTTTTTAAAAGCCAAGCATGATGGTAGACAAGTGTATTCCCAGCTCCCAGAAAGCTGAGAAAGGAAGATCATGAGTTGGAGGTCAGCCTAGGTTACACAGTCCAATCCAGGTTCAAGGCCAGCCTGGACTACATAGCAAGACCATGTCTCAAAAAAAAAATTCTGTCACATGCTACAACACAGGTAAACCCCAAGGACACTACGTTACATGAAATAACCTAGTTGCAGAAAGAGAAACGCCATATGGTCCCACATACATGAGGTATCTAGAGCAGTGAAATACACAGAAACAGAAAGTAGAATGGTGATTGCCAGGGATCAAGGGAGGGAGAAACAAGGAATTATTTAGTGGGTATAAAGTTTTGGTTTTGCTAAACAAAAAGAAAAAGTTTTGGTTTTGTGAGAGAAAATGTGCTGAAGCACAGGTGTCCAATTTGGCTTGCCTGAGCTGTTCTGAGTGAAGAACTGTCTTAAGCCACATATATAAAACATGTAGTAATGTATACAAGTAACAATACTTCCTTTTTCATACTTGCTAGTATAACATAGGGCTGTCTACACCGTGAGCCGTGGGTTGGACTTGCTTATTTAATAACAACAAACAACTGTCTTCACAGATGCATGGATATAGCTAGATAATTACATATTATTGGTAACCAAAGTGCACACATGCATATAATGTGTGATACACATGTGTTTCAATCCGGCTGACTGCGCGTGGCAGGCACAGGGGCAGTTAGTTCACTGAGCTTTCCCCTACACAGTCTTCCGCTGGTGCCTATGCAGCATGCATTCAAGTACTGCACCATCAAGCTGTGAAACATATGCCTAAAAATCCCTTAATAACATTAAAAGTTTATAATCTTACTAGCCATGCAGGGCTACATGCAGCCTACTCCTGTTTTACAGGATGATTGTATAACACGAATATACTTAATACTGCCAAACTTAGAAATGGTAAGATGGTAAATGGTAAATTTCGTTGTTTTTGTTTTTTGTCTTTTGCGACAGGGTTTCTTTACTGTTCTGGTCAGCCTTAAACTCACTTTGTAGCTCAGGCTGGCCATGAACTCAGAGCAATCCTCCTGCCTCAGCTCTAAGTGTTGGGATTACAAGCATGTGTCACTATGCCCAGCCCATTACATATTTTTAGTACAATACAAATAATCTTAAAAAAATTAAATGAAGTTAAAATATGGCACTCGGTCAGAATTTTTAAATTATGTATAATTTCTAATACTTACCTACACTGCTGAGAAACATAGTAAGATAAAGAATCCTAATAGATCTCCATCTGCTCTTACGATGCTCTTGAGTTTCTATAATGTCCCATTCTCTAGGAAAGAACAAAGTAGTATAGATTGAACACCCATAACCTGAAATTCCAGAATCCAAAATGCTCCAAAATCTGAAGCTTTTTGAGTAGTGACATACCCCAAGTGGAAAATCTCGATGGGCAGGTGCAAGTACACTAAAAATACTGTATAAAACTAGCTTTAATATTCCAAAATTGGGGGCTAGGGATTTAGCTCAGCGGCAAAAGTGCCTGCCTGGCAAGCGCAAGGTCGTGAGTTCGGTTCCCGGTACCGGAGAAAAACCAAAAACCAAAAAACAAAACAAAACAAAAATTTCCAAAATTGTAAAAATCCCCAAATCCAAAATCTGACACACTTCTGGTCCCAAACACTTCAGATAAATTTACAAAGGCTGCAAATGCTCATCAACTGGTGAATGGATAAAGAAGATGCATTTTTTTATACAAAGGAGTTCTACTCTGCCATAAAGAAGTACAAGCTCAAGACATCTGTAGGTAAATGGATGCACTTTAAGACCATTCTCTTCAGTGAAATACCACACTGTTTCTTTGGTGTGAGAAACCAAAAGTGTAAATAAGGTCCAAAATGTGTAACAGGTATTGTGAAATAGGAAGAAAATGTTCAAATGGGGAGGTGTACGAGAGAGGAGAGGGGTAAAGGAAAAGTTTTTTTTTTTGGGGGGGGGGAAGTTTTTAAAAATTTGAAAAGGAGGAAAAAATGGAAACAAAGCTTTTGTAAACAAGGAGGTATTGAGGGAGGGTAAGGAAATAGGAAAAAACCCAAGTTATATCTTGGGTAGTACAAATTCTCTATGATGAATGTGATCATTATGTATATCTAAAATGTACCAATAAAATCGGACTGGAAAAGAAAAGAAAATTTACAAAGGCTGCACATCCCTTATCTCATTATGAGCAGAACTTTGGGCTAATCATTTTATTCTCTTCCCTAAAGGCATAAAAATGATATGACAGGGGTATAATTTACTAATACTGGTTTGTGCTGCGCTGATTTATCTATGAACAAGCATTACTTTTTAATTTTTATGATTGTATTTATGCATCATTGCATGTACTTCGGAGACACAAGATACCTTTAAAAAGCAAAACATTGAACTGGGTGTGATGGCTCACACCTGGAATGCTATCACTGGGGAGGATCACTGTGAGTTTGAGACCAGCCTGGGCTACACAGTGAGTTCAAAGACAGCCTGAACTACTTAGAGAGTGAGACCCCGATGTAGGGGACGGCAACTCTCAGCATATCATTTTAAGATAGAATAATTCTAGTCTTAATGCAAGCCTCAAAACGTGTCTTGAGAAACATCCCAGAGGGGTTGTAAAAAGTTAACTTTACAGTCCTGACTTAGCCCTGGAGTGCTTCTCCAAAGACAAAGAACACCCGGGCCCAGATAACCACCTATGACCCTGCCTGGGTTGTTTCACCCCTTTCCTGGCCCTAGATAAACACTGTAACCATAAAGGAAATGCATGGTTATCTAAAGGGGAACATATAGAACAGAGTACTGAAAGTATAAATCATTGTGGTTGGGCTCATGACCGGAGCCTGACCCGGTCACGTGGCACAAGGAAAACAACGTGTGGCCAGGGCTACAACATTCCAATCTGTTACCATGGAAATCAAAAATGTATATAAGCTGGGAACAAAGACAGGCCCATGCCCACTTCCCCAATTTGCAAATCAGGAATGAAGGGTGGCTAGCCTCAAATTAAACTCTGTCTTGTTCTCAATAGTCAGTCTCTTGTGGAATACAACCCGAATTCTACCCTAACACTGTCTCAAAAAAAAAACACAAAGTATTTTCAAAGCAATTATTTTGTTACTGCTGGCATGTACAAATTTATTAATCTAGAGTATTGAAATCTGTCATTCTAACAAAGTGAATAAACTTGAACAAAATGAGTAAAAGAAAATCTTTTAAGTAGGCTTAAAAGGACAGGGTTACTGAATGTGCACTGTATCATAAGACCACATATAATATCGTTAAATGAAGGGTTATGACTCAAGAATTCTACAGTCTGTCTGGAAAACAAACAAACAAACAAAAAAACAAAAATCAAACAGGATTCTGAGAAATCCAAATGTCACAAAGTCTGTGCACTCAAAATTACACACTTAAACTAACAGGAGAGATCTTTAGCCCTTGTCAGTGTCTTCTAATGACACATATTTCTATCAAGACAGATACATGATGTCAAAGCCACCGCAAACTAGAAGTCCTAAAATAAAGCTGCAAGAGAGCTTGCTGAGAGCAAGAAAAATAGGAGCTGCTCTTTCAAAAATGTCAGGAATAAAACAGGCAGAGAATAAAAGCCAACATAAATACTTTAAAAGTATGGAAGCCAATGGTTCCACATGTCTTGATTGGCCTAAAAGATAACACTCTATAGGGCTGGGAATTATAGCTAAGCGGCACAAGCACCTGCCTGGCAAGCGCAAGGTCCTGAGTTCAATTCCCGATACTAAGAAAAGAAGATAGCACTCTATCAAAATAGACTTCAGTCGGCACTGACGTATTTTTGAGACAGGGTTTCACTATGCAGTACAGACTGGCCTTGAACTCACTTTGTAGGCCAGGCCGGCCTTGAATTCACAGCGATCCTCCTGCCTCAGCCTCCTGACCCAACAGAACTGATGTTATTTTAATGATCTTAAGACAAAATCAAATAAAAACAAAAGCGTATTCTATATATTTTGTTGAGTAAATCAGGGGCCAGAGAAATACATTTTCCAAAGGGTTTCAATCATAGTGATTAAAATAAAAATCTGGTGCTGAAAGAGATAAGCAGAACTTATGATTCAGACAGTTTAACTGTGTATTTGACTTAATTTACTTGACACAACCATTATTTGTTTCAAATAAAATGATAATTCTATTTTCCTAAAGATAAAAATACAAATTTAAGTGTGAAAATGCAAACGTTTCTGAAGCACTGCCAATAAACTAGGATCAACATTTTTAAAATCATATGGAGCAAAATATTGACGTTATCCCTTCTAAGGTTAAACGTTTTTATTTATACATGTAGCACAGGACATTGTGGACAGATTTAACAGTGAGCCCATTTTGGACAGATTTAATTGCCATCAAAATATGAAGAGGTATCAGTTAATTACTAAGACGGGTAACTTCACATACCCATTAAAACCACTTCGGGGCTTTTAATTAACAAATGTGGAAACCGATCAGCTGTATGGGGCTAACAAAATGCAGTCGCGTAGCTGTCTCAATATTGTGACAGTTAAAGTCAAACAGGCACCTTTGTATGTCTATATCTGTTTTCATGAGAAACTACTTTGAAGATATCAATATGTAATACAACAAGCATTGTTAATTCCCTACCACTCTGTTTGTAACTCTGTAATGTCTGTACTGATCCTTTGCTATTTTGTAAAATGTTGTCTGTCTGTTAGTATTTTCCTCCTTTTATCTCTAAAAAAAAAAAAAAAAAGTCAAAGAGGCACCTTAGGTTTCACCAGCATCTCTGTAAAACTAGCAAAAAGGAGTTGGAAATAGGTAAGAAAAAGTCCTCACGCAGTAACCTCAGAATTGCACAAGATACGTACCTAGCAATGGCTCCCTCTACCAAAGAACAAATGCCAACTGCGGTGATGACCTGCAGCGACCTACGACACTCGTTTCTAATTTGCTCACCTGGAGGAATCCGTCTTTGAAGGAATCCCCCCTTTCTGCACCCTCCGGGGTACGCCTATAGTCCGCCGTCCCTTGCGTACCCTGTCCTGCAATGCCCTGCTGTTCTCCAGTCACCTCATTTATTTTGCCTTTATTTCTCAGTTTCTTTTTGGTTGAGAACCCGAGCCCCGGGCTTCCTGCCCCGCGCGGCAGGTGCCTTCCCCTCCAGAAGCAGAGCCGGAGCACTCTCCGGGCTCCTGTCACCGGCGGCCGCGAGGGCACCTCTCGGCAACTGACGGCTCCGCCCAGGGCGGCTGGTGCAGAAGGGTGCCGGTCCCAACAGCGCGGGAGGGGTTAGGTGTCCCTCCACCAGCACCATCTCACCTGCCTCCAGCTGTGTGGTCGCCTAAGAGCGGCTCGCGTTCAGCCTCGATCCCCGGGCTCGCCATCGTTGCAGTCCCCCAACTCTCGCGACACCCACACTCTCCTTTCCCCGCGGCCTGAAGCCCTCAGAATAAGCCTGCAAGTGCGTGCGCGCGAGCGCCTGGCGACAGGAAGTGGGCGGGGCGTCCCGAGGTCAGGGGCGGAGTCGCGCAGGAGGCGGGGCTGCGGCGGGCGGAGAGTAGGGGCGGGGCTCTGTGCACCCTGCGCCCGCGCCTGCGGTCCGCCCGACTGCCCGAGCACGAGCCGAACACGCTCGGGGCGTCGCTCAAACGGCCCCGCCCCGCCCCGCGCGGTCCTTCTCCCTGGCGCCTCGCGGCGGTTCGCCAGTCGCTGCCCTGTTCCTAGAGAGGCTGGGGCGCCCGCCTTTGGCCTCTGGCGAAAGTCGAGTCTCAGAAGCCTCGACAGCGGCGGCGCTGGGAACTCGGCCCGCTGGAGCCCAGACGTCCGCCCGGCGGCCCGTAAGTAGCGGCCGTGCGGGGTGCGCGGGATTCCGCGCGCTGCGTACGTGCGGCCAGGCAGGGCGCGGGGAGCGGGGCGCGGGGCGCGGCAGGGACGGGAACCGGGCCGGGCGAGGGGCTGCGGGCTGTCACTACCTGCAGCGGGAGGTGGCGGCGGCCGCGGCCTGTCGTTCTCCAGCGCGGGTGACCGCGGGACACCGTCACCTGTGGTGCTGGTGAGGGCCGGACTGAAGGCGGGTCCGGCCCCTTTCCCGCGGGTCCCGCAGCCCGCGCCCCGCGGACGCCTCGGGAGCTGAGGCCTCGCCCTTGTAAGCCGCCCCTCGGCACATCTGCTCCTGGAGCCTGCGGCTTGGGAAAGGCAGGGTACCTGCCCCGCCGCACAAGGAAGATGGCATTTCTAGAAAACCAGGGTATTTTCACTAGCACTGAGTGCCACTTCCTTCCTGGTCTTTACAGTTAACGCCTTATCTATACAGCCAGGCTCCTAGGCTAATTGATGGCAATAGTCAGCATGTGTGTCTCATAAATTAACATTTTATTAGCGCTAGCTATATTGTCATGTGATTTCATTTGATTATAACTTTTCCATGAGATAGGTGTGCAGCGCGCATATTTCCATCTGAAAGAGAGGTTAAACTCGTGAACCCGGCAGGACTTGGCACACAAACTCAGTTCCTTTCAACTAATATTTCTCACCTAAGCCAGGTTTCCTACTAGTGTTACGTTGCATGTGGTATTGTTGTCTTCCCTAACACTTGTCTCGTTTGTGACCTTGTCTCATTTGTGACCGTCTATATATCCAGTCAACTACATTCCACCGGTAAATGGCTAAACTGGAGATGTTTTCTGTTCAGAAGTATCTTCTAAATCCATGCAAGGCCGGGCGTGGTGGCGCATGCCTGTGATCCCAGCACTCAGGAGGCTGAGGCAGGTGGGATGGTTGCGAGCTGGAGACCAGCCTGGGCTACAAAGTGAGCTCAAGGCCAGTCTGAGCTGCATAGCCACATGGTGTCTCAAAAAGACAAAAAAAAAAAAAAAAAAAATCCATGCAAAGTCATTTTTAACACCTCACAAAAACATCAGATCCCAGTGATTGGAAGGTAATGTTGCTTCACTGTGTCTTTTCTTAGTCCCCAGAGGCTAGCATAGTAGTATATGTCACAAATTTAGTGGACAGAGGAACTTCTAACTTTGCACCAAACAAAAAGGATATACATCTATATATAATATATATTAAATGTATGTGAATATATGTGATGAGTAATGCTTATTAAATTTCGTTTCCTTCCCACATCCTTTGAGGTAGGAACTGGAAAATTGTCTCAAATAGAGAAAAATATTGAAGTAGCTTTTATGGATCACCATTTAAGGAGCAGCCACTTAAATTTGGGTGTGATAGCATATACCCGCTCTGGGAGGCTGAGACAAGAGGATTCCAAATTCAAACCTAGCCTGGGCAATTTAGTGACTTGAGAAGACCTTCACTCAAAATTTAAAAAAAAAAAAAAAATGTGAAAGGTTGAGGATATAGCACATTGTGAGGGCCCTGGCATCAGTCCCCAGGAACACACACAGAAACTTAAATTCAGGAAGTACAGGATCCTAAATGTAAAGGCTGTGGTGTTTACTACCAGGCTTCCTGTGAAAAAATAGCAAGAAGATTCTTTTCCCCAAATCTCTTAAAATACAGTGATTTCGTTTTTGTAAATGAAATAATTTGCTATGGTGTATTAGGCCAAGTATTATTTCCCATTTGTATGCTAAGGTGGCTTCCTCAAGGTCACACAGCCTGTGGATAAACCTGGGTCTTTTTTCACTACTGTTTTCCATTGCTGCCTCCAAGTGATGACTTCAGACCACAGGAACACATGTAATGAGAACATGCACAACTGGTGAAATCTAAATAAGCTCCAAGTAGCTCTTGGGAATCTGCATACACTTAACATCCAAAGTAAATATTTTTCAAAAGGTCTTTTTACCGGGCGTGGTGGTGCACACTTGTAATCCCCAGCACTCGGGAAACAGGCGGGAGGATTGTTGTGAGTTTGAGACCAGCCTGGTCTACAAAGTGACTTCAGAACCAACTGAACTGCATAATGAAACCCTGTCTCAAAACGACAAAAAAGAAAAAGTCTTTTCAGAGGCCTTTGAAAAGGCATTAGATTATTTCCTGAATGTTTCATACAAGGATGAAATAGTTGACTGATAAGATTTCATTAGATGAGTGTTCAGAGTACATATCCATACACTTCCCAAACAAATGAACTTCCTGTTTTCCTACTCTTCTCCAGTGTAAGATTAAAAGAAATTAAACTTGTTCAAGGGTAGATATCTGAGTATATAAACCCTTGCTTACTACTTAAACTTGTACTGAAAAGAAGTGATTTAAAAGAAAAAGTACTAAGCAAAAATTAAGTCTTTTTATTTAGAAGATGGTGGAGAAAGTTCTTGTACATGATGTTTTTTAGAATTTCATTTATCTAGCTGTGCCTGGTGGTGCATGCCTGTAATCCCAGCACTCAGGAGGCTAAGGCAGGAGGATCGTTGTGAGTTCAAGGCCAGCCTGGGCTACAAAGTGAGCTCAAGGCCAGCCTGAACTGCATAGTGAGACCCTGTCTCAAAAGACAAAAAAAAAAAAGAATTTCGTTTATACCTTCGAGATATATGTAAACAGTCTATAGATAGGAATCCAGAAAAAAATCAGGGTTATATTGTTTAAATACCTGGGTACCAGAAAGGAGATAAAAGTACTAGATGACACGATAGACCATGAGTGTCACTTTAGCACCAGAGCTTATTTCTAGGAAAGACATATGATTCCTTGGCATTGTGCTGGAGCTTCTGTTTTTGTTTCACTTTGTTTTCCCCTTTTATATTGGCTATTTAAAAATGTAGACGGCAGTTGTATCATTTTGGCTTGATATGTAGTTCAGAAGCTTTCTGCAAAAGCTCATTGGTGTCAATCAAGCTTAAAATAAGGGCTTTTTGTAGCTGGCATGGCTCTAGATAATGCCTCCTTTTGGTAAATTGGAGTTGTGTTTACCCTAGGCTTGGACTGTTGTTTGCTTATGGTGGCGCTGTATATCCTGAACACAGACATCCCTGCTTAGAAAGATTTACAGGTTTAGGTAGTAAGAAAACCCCAGTATTTTTATATTGTTCTTGGGACAGAGATAGGATGTAAGAAGACCTGTATAATTCAAAATCCAACAACTGTATTTATAGTAAGCTGTGTGTGTGTGATTCGCTTTATGTTCTACATTTGTCAGTTGTTTACTGAGGTAAATATAGCAAGGAGTATGCTGGCTCTAGACTTGGAGTGCTGACTCTTGAAACCCCACCTTCCACCACAGAAACAGAAACACCAACACCACCTTCCGCCGCCCCCAGTCCTGGGGATTGAACCCAGTGCATTCACACTACACTACACCCCCAGTGCAAGTTTGTATTTTGAGTCAGAGTCTTGCTGACTCACTAAGTTACCCAGGCTGGGTGTGAACTTGTGGTCCTCTTGCCTTAACCTCCCAGAGTTTGGAGTTACAAATGTGCACCACCAAGTCTAGCTTGGAGCACTGACTCTTATGGCCTGTTACACAGGGAATCAAAATATGTGGTAAGGTTTTCTAGTTTAGGATTGAAAATCTGGAAAGGCTAAACAATTTAAGCATATAATAAATATAGTATGTTACAAAATATTTGAAAAGGTCATTATTCTTAATTATTTTCTTGCTTCCCTTGCAACTTTTTTTTGGTACTGGGAATTGAACTCCGGACCTCGCATTTGCCAGGCAGGCACTGTGCTGCTGAGCTATATCCCTGGCCCTCGCAACTTTCTACTTCTCTATGTTTGTCTTCAGTTTAATCTTCTAGCAACGTAAAAGAATGTTGAAATTTTATAAGTTAAATCTTATGAATAGTATATTACTTTTTGTTTCACTGTGAAATGCTAGAGTTGGATTTTTAATATTATTTTTTTACTAGCATGGAATCTGCCAATTGCTGTTGATGCCATGGGTGTTGCAAAGGAAAGCATTGAATCCAGAGCATCCTGTTTTATTAGAGAAAATGAAGAGCCTATAATATAGTACTTGTAAAAGATAGTGAAATCCTACATTATAATGACATGCCACTGGTCTGCAGTTGAATAAATACACACAAAAAATGTGCCAGGCGTGGTGATGCATGCCTGTAATCCCAGCACTCAGGAGGCTGAGGCTTGAGGATTGCTGCAAGTTCGAGACCAGCCTGGGCTACAAAGTGAGCTCAAGGCCAGCCTGAACAGCATAGCAAGACCATGTCTCAAAAACAAAAACAAAAACAAAAACAAACCAAAAAGAAAAACACAAAAAATGTATCAGTGTTTTATTTTGTGGTACTGGGAATAGAACCTAGAGGCTTTCTACCACTGAACTACATCACAGTCTTATTTACTTACTTATGAATGGATGACAGAGTCTCACTTAAGTTTCCCAGGCTGACCTTGAACTTGTGATCCTCCTTTGGTTTCCTAATAGCTAGGCTTGCAGGCATACAACACTATGCCTAGCTCAGTGGTATATATTTAAGTGTGGTGGTGAACACCTGTAGTTCCAGCACTTGGGTGGCTGAAGCAGGAAGATCCCCATGAGTTTGAGACCAGCCTGGGATACATGGTGAGTTCAAGGCCAGCCTGAACTACGTAGTAACACCCTATCTCAAAAATAAATAAATAAATAAATAAAAAGAAAATTTCAGCTTTGTAAGGGATATAGCTCAGAAACAGCCAAGTGAAGAAACATATGAAAGAATCATTATGGAGCTGCCATGCATGCCTGTCCTTGTGGAGTCCAGAGCATCATTTTCAGAGATATCAAAGTGTTCATCAACTAAAAATCTCCAACAAACCCCAGTGGCCAGAGTTTTTACTGGGATATCACTACACACTCATGAATGATTGTATCATTGGCCAAGTTAATTGAACATGATTTCCCACCCTGTTCCCTTGTCTGAGGTCAAGTTGGTCCAAAGTATGTAGTTCAGCCCCAACCATGTGAGTCACTTTATTACCATAACACAGGCGTTCAACTCAGAAAGTTTCAAGAGTGGCTGGGCGTGGTAGCACAGGCCTGTAATCCCAGTACTCGGGAGACTGAGGCAGGAGGAATCCTACAACTTCAAGGCCAGCCTGAACTGCATAGCAAAACCCTGTCTCAAAAAGACAAGAACAAGAGAAAATTCCAGAGGTTTTAGCACCATAACTGAACTGGGGTTAATGGCCAGATTTATTCTTTTTTGATATATGGGGGGAGGGAACTGAGGCCTGTACCCAAGGTCTTTGCACTGAGCTGCATCCCTCCCCCTACCTTTTTAAACAACTTCCTATTTCACAATATCTTTTCCACATTTTGATCTTTCCTTACTCTTTCAGTTTCTCACACCAGGGAGACGATGCGATATTTACACATGTGGTGTCCAGTTTATTTCACTTAAGAATATGGTCTCAGGGTGCATCCATTTACCTAGAAATGATTCATCTATCCTTCTTTATGGCTGAGCAGTACTCTGTTGCATGTAGGCAAAGATTTCATGAACAAAACCCTAATTGCACAGGAAATACTACAAAGAATCAGCAACTGGGATCTCATCCTATTAAAAAGCTTTTGCACAGCAAAAGAATTCACCAATAGAGTGAAAAGACAACCCGGAGAGTGGGAAAAAATTTTAGCCCGTTGTCCCTCAGACAGAGGACTTACATCTAGAACATAAAAAGAATTGAAAAAAGTCGGATCCCCCATTTAAAGACCTAGTCCCAAAATGGACATCTGAGATGAATACACACCTCTCAGTTGAAGAAATACAAATGGAAAATAAATACGTGGAAAAAATGTTCACTGATCTTTCAAGAGATGCAAATTAAAACAACAGTGAGATTCTATCTCACTCCAGAAAGAATGACTATGATGAAGAAATCAGTTACACTGCCTGGCAAGCACAAGGTCATGAGTTCGATCCCTGGTACCGGGGGGAAAAAAAAAAAAAAAGAAATCAGTTACAAATACTTGCAGGGCTTGGAGAAAAAGGAAGCCTTCTCCACTGTTGGTGGGAGTGTAGTGTGCTGCAACCACTGTGGAAATCAGTGTGGAGATTCCTCAAAAAACTAGGATTAGAGGTCCCACTTGACTGAGCTGTTGCCCTTCTGGGTATCTTCCTGGAAGAATTAAAAGCATCACATCACAGTGATATATGCACACCCATGTTTATAGCAGCACAGTTTGTAATAGCTAAATCTTAGAAATAACCCAAATGCCCATCAACCTAGGAATAGATTAAAAAGACTTTTTCTTTTAATACAGTGGAGTACTGCCCTTTTTTTGAGACAGGATCTCTAAGACACTAAGTTGCTGAGACTGAGGCTCAAAATTTAAATCCTGCCTCATTGCTTCAGCCTTCCAGAGTGCTGGGGCTACAAGTGTGTCTCACCATGCCTGGCACACTGACATTTCTCTTCAAGAAAAACTAGCCAAGCAATTTAAACATATATTACATATATACTTCCATGATTTTAATCATTTTAAATTATTGTGATGTATAACGGAGACAGTATTTTGGAATTCAGTTTACCTTTTACTATTTGTTTAATATGAGTGTAGACACATGATTTACAGAACTTTTCAAGAGCTTATTGGTCTATTAACAAATGTTTATCAAGTATATGAAATAAATGTCACTTGGTGTTGAGGGTGTTAGCTCAGACATTGTACTCAAAGGCTAAGTACAATGTTTCCCCTATTGAAAACACATGATCGTCATGATTGTGGCTCTGTAATGTTTACACGTTATGTGATCTCTCCTTTTGAATTTGGCCAGAATCTATTATTTACTTTTTAACCAAATAGGAATTTGCCAAAGGTGACTGAGTGTCACTCCCATAGCTTACTCTGACTCTCCTGGTCTTAAAGACATAAGCTGCCAGATTGTGAACTTTTATGGAGAAAGCCAAACGATAAAGAAGTGTGTCTCCAAAAGGTGAGGCTGACAAACAGCAAAACATTCAAACTCTTTGAGTCCTTAACAGTTGCAAGTAAATGAAGGCTGCCAAAACCCTGAAAGTGGGTTCTTCTCCAGTTGTGCTTCAAGACAAAAATTCAACCCAACTGATAGCTTGTTTGAAACGAAGAGGCCATAAAGCAGAAAGCACAGGTTAGCTGCCTTCTTAGAAATTAATCCTCAAGGAAAAATAAAATGAGAAGATGGAGGGGAAACCGACTAAGCTCAAAAGATTTCTTCTTCATAGTAAAGCTCTCAAATATTTAAATTATGTAGTATCCCTTTTTAAAGAGAATAATACTAGTCTTGAGTTGTGTTCTAAGTTAAATAGGATAATGAACTACCTTACTTATTGAGGCTGTTATCAAAAGGAAAAGAAAGCATCAAGTGACTTTGTCAAAATTTTGTAAGGAGGCTGTCAACCTAAGATAACAAGCCCGGCATGGTGGAACACACCTATAATCCCAGCAGTCTGGGAGATTGAGAAAGGAATGTTGCAGGGGAGGAGGCCCACCTAGGCAGTTTAGCAATTTGATGAGACCCTCTCTCAAAATTAAAAAAAAAGGTTTTTTTTTAAAGATCTAGGCGTATAGCATGTAGTGCAAAGGCCTGGGGTTCAATCCCTAGTACTCAGAGTGAAATGAAATAACAGAGAAAGGCTTTCCAAAGAAATGAGTTTATTCAGGAATGTGCAGGGGATTGCAATCAGGAATAGGCATGCTGTGATGGAAGACGATCACATCTGGGAAGGTTGAAAGAAGGGGAACCTTTTAAAGACAAAAGGGAAGAAGTACATGCAGGGTGCCTGAAGCGAAAGTTTATTGGTTACAGGGGCTTATTGCAGGCAGCGACATGTACTGGCCATTGCTAGGAGAGGGTCTTCATAGAAATGACTATGATTACAAGTTTGCGGATTATTAAGGCTACTTGCAGTAGTGCTGTTAGGACCAGGTGTTGCTGAAAAGATAACCTCAGAAATGGCTTTAACTGCAAGGCTGTAGTTTGGGCAACATTTTTATGATAGTTCTTCTTTTTTCTTTATTTTATTTTAAAGAGAATTTAAAAAAAAAAAACAGTAGCAAAATGCCAACAACATAGACAAAAAAAACCAAAGCAAAAACATTAAGAATGATAAGGATTAACAGGGATTGTTATATTACATGTTTTTGTCTTCATCAAAGTTGATCTTTATCAGGCAAATGTGCATGAAGACTTTCTCTTCATGGCCTCCAGCTCTGTTTCATTAAAAGTTTGAGATAAGTGACTCCATTTTGATTCTGAAAGCTTTCACAAATTAACTCCAAATTCTAAATTGTTTCCCCCTTTTTAATTATGGCAAAATATTCTAATGTCATTTATTATCTTAATTGTTTTAAGCGTACAGATCAGTGTTACTAAGTATATTCATATTGCTGAGCAAACAATACCACCATCCACCTCTAGTTTTCATCTTGAAAATGGAAACTGTTCCTATTAAACAACAACCTTCCCACTTTCCCTTTCTGCCAAACTCTAGCAACTATTATTCTCTTTCTTTCTGTGAATATTGAATATTCTAGGTGTCTCATATAAATAGAATCATACAGTGTTTGTCTTTTTATGACAGTATCAAGGTTCATCAGTGTGACCGGATGGTAGTCTGTGCCAGAATTTCCCTCTTTTTAAAACCACTGTTCTCTTGTGTATATACATGTTGGTGGACACCTGAAAGTTTTAGATATTAGTTTAATAAACAGTGTTTTCGGGGCTGGGGATTTAGCTCAGCGGCACAGTGCCTGCCTGGCAAGTGCAAGGTTGTGTGCGCAAGGTTGTGAGTTTGATTCCCAGTACCGGAAAAAAAAAAAAAAAAAAGTAGTGTTTTATAGTTGTATCTTTGCACTGTTGACATCATTTGATATTTGCGACATGCCTGTAATTTATTTGATTTTCTAACTCAGGTCAGTAAACTCTTAGCCAGGCTGTTTTTCTGTGGCCTTTGAGTGAAGTATAGTTTTTGCAGGTGAACATTTTTACTCAATTTCACGATAGAGGTATTAATTTTGATTCCATTTAAGCAAACTTCCAAAAAACGTTCATTTTTCTTGTGAATAGGCCTATACTATTAAAAATCCTTTCAATTAATATTAAAAACATTACATTTTAAATGTCCTCAGTATAAAAATTATAAAAATCAGTTTTATTTCTTACCATGTAGGTACTTATGTAGTAAACTTAATTTTGCCTCTTAGATGATGGAAAGAAGAGAGCAAATATAGCTGTCATTTGTTGTAAAGAGTTGACTAACAGATTGTGTAGGCCTATAGACCATGAAAATACAGATTTGAGTGTTAATGTTACAGTAAAGGTAAATTGCTATTATTAATAGATATCACTTCAATTTGCAGAGCATCATATAAGTGATTTATATATACCAACTTATTTCATTCGTATGCCTATTTTTCAGCAAATATATCTGATTTTCCAAGGAATCAATTCAAGAATTTACTCTCAATCTTTAATTTTACCTGATATTCAAAGAAGTGGTTGGCAAATTGACTTCTTGTCTTGATTAAAATATAAAACATTTTGGGCAAGAGATGTAGCTCAGTTTATGGAGTACTTGCAAAATGTGTATGAAGCCCTAGTCACTGGAAAAAAAGAAAAATGAAAAGAGAAAAGGAAAGAGAAAAAAAGAAAAATTTAAGGTCATTTTAAATTTTGCTTCTAGATGCTGTTTGCTACTAATGGGTGTTAGCAAGTTAGATATTCTCTACCGGAGACTTCTCCTCACAAAACTTTTTATTAGAGGATGGGGAAGGCCAGAAGATCTCAAAAGGTAATCTTTTTTTTTTTTTTTTTTTCTGAATACTTGTTTTGAATTTATTTTATTTCAGTTATAAAATCCTTTCCTCAAATACAGAATGATTTGTTAGGAAATTAAATATTAAATTATTTTAAAAATATAATTGCTTCCTTTTTAGTTATTTCTCAAGTTTTCGCTTATAGCATCAAAAATTGGACCATGTAAAAAGTAATTCCTCTATAAAAGACCTCTCAGAAACATAAAATAGCCAGGTATGGTGACTCATGCCTGTAACTCTAGCACTCAGGAGATTCAGGTAGGAGGATTGCATCTTCAAGGCCAGCCATGGCTGCCTAGCAGTTTTGAGACCCACCTAGCTTACCTTGTGAAACCCTGTCTCAAAAAACAAACAAACGAACACTAAACTGGGCATAATGACATATGCCTGTGTCTTGGTTACTTTTCTCTCATTACTGGGACAAAATACCTGATGCCCAAAATTAAGGAAGGAAAGGTTTATTTCGCTTACAGTTTGTGGAGCTTTCAGTCCATACTTGGCAGGTTACAAGGCAGAGTGGCACATGGCAGAGGGCTACAGGTTGGTGGCAGAACACAGCAAAAGCAACAAGCACAAAAGGGAGGAATGGCCACAAGCAGCCTCTTCCTCTCCCTTACATATGCAAACTGTCCACCCCAGGGCGGGTGTAGCTCTCACACCCATGATCAGTCAAACTCTAAAAGCCTGCCCATGACCGCATGAGGCTTTGGGGGGACACACAGACACAAACCATAACAGCCTGTAATCTCAGCACTCAGGGTGAAGGCAAGAGGATCACCTCGTGTTCAAGGCCAGCCTGGGCTATATAATGAGTTCATGGCCAGCCTGAACTATGTAACAAGACCCTGTCTCAAAAAAAAACAAACCCAAAATAAATACAAATTAGAGATTTAAAATTTCAGTGATTATTGAACTGATTAGTTTCCAGGTATTGATTTTCCTTGGGTAACCTGGATTTGTAATGACTATAACACTGGAATAAAGCCAGGGATGCTAGTGCACCCCTGTAATCCCAGCACTCAGGAGATTGGGGCAGAAGGATCACCATGAATTTGAGGCAGTCTGGACTATGTAGTAGGCTCAAGGCCAGCGTGAACTACATAGCAAGACTCTCTCAAAAAAACCTAAAAAAACTAAAAATAAAAAAAACAAATAAATACCTAGAGGTCAGGTGTGGTGGCACACACCTGTAATCCCAGTATTAGGGAGGCTGAGACGGGAGCATCTCCATGAGTTCAAGGCCAGCCTGGGGTACATAAACAAGTTCAAGGCTGGCCTGCACTAGATAGAAAGAACCTGTCCCTAAATAAATAAATACATAAATGCCTCGAATACAGTATAGGTCACAGGAAAATCTGGACCTAAGAACATTAATTTTTGGTATTGGTACCTTTAATTTTTTTTGTTGGATGAAAATTAAATTTTAGTGTGATTTATGAATTGAATTGGCTAATTTTTAATCAATGTTAGTCTCAATGTAATGGATACAGCAGGTATATAAAAGGTGAATGTTTTTCCTTTTTGTCTCCTTTCTCATAATAGACTTTTTGAATTCAGGAAGATGATTGGAAACCGAGAAAGATGCCAGAATCTGGTTTCAAGCGATTATCCAGTGTACATTGATAAGGTAGTCAAATGGCAAAAATGCAGTTATAGAACTTCTGGTTTAACATAAATATGTGCCAAGAATAGACTGAATGTTGGAGTATAATAACAAACACTAAGACATGAAGCTAGTGGATTTTCATGTAATAATAAAGAATTTTATTTGTACTTTAACCAGATGTATTAATTATAGGGATCCTTTGGGTTCTTGCTGTACCCTGGGAAGGAACGGTGGCAAGAATGAGGAAAAAATAGACAAGAGACCAAAAGCTGGGATCGCGTGGAGGTCCTCTCTCTCCGTGGAGAAGGGGAATTACTCAAGAACAGTAGAGCGTTTATTTATACCCTCAAGAGGTTGGTTAATTTTCGCCTCACTGTCCAGCAATCAGTTAACAAGCTAAAACAGCTTGTTTACGTGTTTCGAGGAGCTCCCGTGTTCTCGGGCTGGGCTCGTCTTGCACCTGTAACTACCTTCCAGCTTCCGCGGCTCCCAACATTAATAATTAACTATGTTCATGTATATTTGGGAGCATATTATTTGCCTAAATACAAAGAAGCACTTAGCCTGGATCTTTCTGTGTCTTGTTTCTATCCATAAGCTCAAGAGAGTTAACTTAAATTATTCAACATTAAAGAAGAATGTAAGTATTAGAGGGGAGTTGGAGAATTGGCCCCTAAGGAGCTGTTTCCAAAACAGCTATTAAAAGACACAAGGGAAAGTGTTATGGGATGTAGTTAATTGCTAAGCAAATTGTAGAAAGAAGTGCAATAAAATTAGAGAAGATAAGAATGTTTATAAAATGGTTTTGCTTTTAAAGCAACCAGCTGTTTTTCCTGCCAGATACTTGTACATTAATGTAACTGAATACTTTGAGGTATTATTGGAGAAGGAATATAATAGGTAGGCTTCTTACAGCCCTCACTGCCTTTCAAGCAAAGAAACTCTGTTTTTAGGTATTGGCTAGCTTTAGAAGACTTACTTTTTCAAAAGATTGCCACAGCTAAAAGCAAATTTTATAAACTAAAAACCTCTCCAGCATAGCTGTATCTTCTAGATTTAGAACATTTTTCACTGACCCAAATTTAACTAAATATTTGTATTTTAAAAAAATACTTATATTTTCTGTGGTTTTTTTTTTTTTCATTAAAAATTCAGGCTCAAAATAAAAAAAAAAAAAACATAAAGCATACCAAATGTAAAAAAATCAAAAGTCCCCTTTAAGCCAGAAGTGGTGATTCATCTCTGTAATCCCAGTTACTGCAGAAGCTGTGGCAGGAGGATTGCATTTTCTAGCTCAGCCTTAACAATTTAATGAGACCCTGTGTCAAGGTAAGAACTTTTTTTTTTTTTTTTTTTTTTGGTTTTTCTCCGGTACCGGGAACCGAACTCACGACCTTGCGCTTGCCAGGCAGGCGCTTTTGCCGCTGAGCTAAATCCCCAGCCCCAAGGTAAGATCTTTTGAAAAGGGTTAGGTTAGGCTGTAGCACAGTGGAAGGACACTTGCCTAGCATGAGCAAAACCCTGGATATACTCTTCAATACCACAAAGAGGAAAAGAAAAAGAAAGTCTCCTTTAACCTCTGCCAGTTTCTGCCACCTATTTCCATTTCTGTCTCAAGGAGGGATTACTTTATTGGTAGGTTTTTAATTACATCTTCAATTTCATTGACTGATAATTCATATGTATCTTGGAACCTGTCCACTTTGTCTGCATTTTCTGGCTTATTAAAATACAGATTCTCAAAGTAGGTATTGGTAATCCTCTGATTTCTGCACAATGTGTTGTGATTTCACCCTTTACATGACTTTGACTCTTTTCTTTCCACTTTTTGGTAAGGTTGGCTAAGGGTTTGTCAATTTTACATAATCTTTCGAGGAACCCACTCTTTGATTTATTGGTTCTTTGTATTGTTTTCTTAATCTCCATTGTATTAATTTTTGCTCTGATCTTAATGATTTCCTCCCTCAGATGAGCTTTTGTCTTGACTTGTTCTTTTTTTTTTTCTAGAAGTTTGAGGTTCAATGTTAAATTGTTTATTTGAGGTCGCTCTGTTTTTCTAGTACAAATATTCACTGCTATAAATTTCCCTCTGAGAGCCAGGCATGGTGGCATATGCCTGTAATCCCAGCGCACCAGAGGCTGAGGCAGGAGAATTGCTGTGAGTTTAAGGCCAGCCTGGTCTACAAACTGATTTAAAGACCGGTCTGTGCTGCATAGCAAAACCTTGTCTCAAAAAGACCAAAAATAAACTTTAAAATTAATTAATTAATTAATTTCCTTTGTAGGACTGCTTTCGTTTTATCTCATAAGCTCCAGTCTGTTGTATTGGCATTACTATTTAATTGTAGAAATCATCTATTTTCTTCTTTCATTTCATCTGTAACCCATTGGTTATTCAGGAGGGTGTTATTTAATTTCTGTGTGTTTACAAAATTCTTGTGGTTTCTTTTGCCATTGATTTCCGCTTTCATTGCACTAGGTTCTGATAATATATATGAGATAATTTCAGTTCCTTTGCATTTACTTAAACATGTTCTATAAACTAGTAAGTAGTGTATTTTGGAGAAAGTCCCATGTGCAGCTGAGAAGAATGTGTATTCTAGATATTGTAGGGTGGAATACTCTGTAGATATCTACCAAGTCCATTTGATAAAAAGTTGCTTTCAGTTCTAACATTTCATTGTTGATTTTTTTTCTAGTTGACGTATGTATTTGTGACAGTGGAGTATCAGAGTGCCCTACTGTAATTGAATTAGTGTTTATTTGATTTTTCATGTCTGTTAATACTTGTTTTATAAAGGTAGGTACACTAGTATTTGTGCATATATATTTATGATTTTTATCTCTTCTTAGATTATTCCCTTTAAATGTGTAGTGACCTTCTTTGTCTCTCTTAATCAGTCTTAGCTTGAAATCTTTACTTTGTCTGCAAATAGTCTAGCAACCCCTGCTTTTTTATGGGTTCCTGTCACATGGAGTATTGTTTTCCATACTTTGACTTCCAGTCTATGAACTTCTTTTTAAATTAAATGTGTTTCTTGTATTGTTGAATCTTTCTTCTTGACACATTCTGTCACTCTGTTTCTTTTCATTAGTGATTTGAGACCATTAACATTGATGGTTATAACTGATATGTATTGATGTACCCTTACCATGTTATTATCTCCTTTTTCCCCCCTTTGTTTAATTGTTTGCCTTGCCTGGTGGGTTCATTTCATTGTGATTCATGAAGTTGTAATCCTTGTTATCTTTTTCTAGAATGTCCTTCAGGACATTTTGCTGTGCTGGTTTGGTGTTCATAAATTTCCTCAGGTATTGTCATGGAAGTATCTTATTTCTATCAGTTTTCAAAGGTTGTTTTGCCGGGTGCATCAATTTTGGTTGAAGGTTGTTTTCTTTGGAGGCTTGAAATACTTCACTCCAAGCTCTCCTTGACTTCAGAGTTTGTGGCAAGAAGTCTCCTGTGATTCTAATGGGCTTTCTTTTATAGATGTGATTTGTTTCTTTTCCCTAACAGCTTTTAAGATTCTATTCTTGTATTGAATTTCTGGAATCTTGACTGATACGCCTGGCTGTAGATTGTTTTTGATCATGGCTAATTGGAGTTCTATGTGCTTCAGTTACTGTTTGTCAGATTTTTTTTTCTCTACCAGGGAAGTTTTCTGCTGTGATGTCTGTGAATAGGTTTTTTTTGCATCATTTGTGCTATCTCCTGCTTTTTCATTGACTCCAATCAATCTTAAGTCCTCATCTAGCAGCTGCCCAATTGATTTCTCACGGGCATTTGCTATTTTTAAGAAATCTTGCTTTTCATAATCACTAACCACAAGCCTGTCTTCACTATCTGAGATTCTGTCCTTGAATTGGCTTATCTTGCTGCAGATACTTTCAATGGAATTTTTATTTCTTGGATATCTGTTTGAATCTGTGTTATGGGATCCATTTCTTTCCTATGCTGAGCATTCATGACTTCCATAATTTTCTTAGGCTCCTCTATTTTTTTATCTGTGTCTGCTCTAGAGACACTAAGCATGGTTTTCATTGTGGACACCCTCTCTGCATTTACCTGAGAAATTATTCCTGATTTGAATTTTTTCTAGAGCCTCATTCAATTGCTTTGTTGTTACCACTTCAGAGAGGTCAAGTGGGTGGCTTTCAGATTGTCCCACCTCATTGCCCCATGGTTTTGCCTTTGGTGAACTGGATGTCTGGTTGCATCTTTTTTAAGTATCTTCTCATTTTCTTTTCTTTTTTTTTTTTTTCTTTAAAGTTTAATTCCTGGGGTGGTGTTTATAAATTGCCTACAGTGGATTGCTTCATTGCTAATATTTAGAACCCTTAGAGAATGACTATTTCTCTGAGGTATCTTCCAGGTGTAACTGGTTTTTAGATTTTGAGTCTGTTGGAAGATCCTACTTTTTCAATTTATTGGGGATGAGAAGTTGTTGCCTACTTGGTTTTTTGGCACTGTGCAATAGTATTTTCTATGACTCTTAGTCAGTCTCAGTCTTAAAATACCAGCAAGAACAACTAGTTAGAACAGTTATGTCACTTTGGCTAGAGTGGTACCATCAGCAATAATGATAGCATCAAACACAGCCTAGAAAATGAGAAACTGAGGTAACCATTAATTTGCCACCTTTAACCATATGAACTAGATTTGTGGTTATACAGTCATCTCTATATCATGGTTCACTTATTGTGGCTTCACTGTATCATGGATTTTTTTTTAAAAAATCTAATTTTGCTATATCACAGGATTTTGCGGTGTATAGGCATTTATATAATTATGATTTTATCTTTTTCTAAAAATTTAAGGTATAAAAATATAAAAAATGTTACTTCAAACATATTTAAAAATATTAAATTGAAATAAAATATGTATTTCATCAGCGGGTGAATACTGTACTGTATGTAATGGAAATGCAGTATGCCACTACCGCTTGTGCAAGTTTGCCAACATGAGGTTGTACGTGGTGCACTGTTGGCTGATGGAATGGAAGGCAACTAATCATAGCACT